ACAGAGTCAAGATTAGGGAGACAGTACCTTTTTGAAAGCACCTGCCCGCTGGCTGATTGACCATCATTGATGTATAGCAGAGGCTGCATTTGGATAGGTTTCGATTTCTCTCACCTTTACTTGTACTGAGGAGGTACAGAGTAGAGAGGGAAAGGACAGTGCTGCACTTTACATTTAATCACTGGAGCCTATCCAGTGACTGGCTCACATCTACATGCTTTCCTTTGCCTTTTTTATTTATCTGCCTTGTCTGTAAGCCTAGGCAACCATAAGCTCATTTTAGGTCTTGTTCAGGGCTTATGTTATACTTGAATGTCCAGAGACCCAAAAATAGTCCCCAAAATAAAAGCACTGCTTGCTGTGAAGAAATAGGGGCTTGCTCAGCAAGAAATTTGGTTTTGCTTGGAGAAATCTAATTCTTTCCCACCACCATTTCCCATTACTGTCCGTTGAATAAAATTACAGAGGGTGCTTACCTTTAGACCTTAAAGTGTGAGTCTTCTCTGAAAAGTAACTGTGATAACAGCATCCTCCGTCTCAGCTAGTCAGCTCCTTGTCAGAACCACAGTTTTTCATTTTAGCGATATGAAACATGACGAGGCAGTTCATATATTAGACTGCAATTACCTTGTTTCTTTGTATTTGTTCCTGTTTATAGGGTTAAAGTGCTGAGTTTTGAGAGGTGTTAAATTCCCACCACCTGTCCCTCAAATTACTGGGACCTGTGGGTTTGCAGCACCTTCTCTGGCTCAGGCCTAACATGACCAAGATGGCATCAAGTGAGCGGTATTGCTGCCGTTGAAGAAGTGTGTGAGTGCAAGGAAGGTCCATTCCAATGCACTGAAAATAAAGTGTGCTCAAAGCATTATTTTTATGTGCCACATTTTCCCATGTTGTGCCATCTCTCCTGAGAGTAGACTCTTATCTTATTTTGTCCTATACAAAGGAAACCATCCTGCATGGTTCTGCTTACAGTTATAGATGTATCTCCTGTTTTATACTGAAAACATGAAACTGTTGCTTTTATTTTTAAAGTTTAATTCCATGTTCTGTGAATTTTTAATTGCTTGCAATAAAATATAATATGGAAATTTACTACATCAAAGCTGATTTCTTTCCCCTTCCCCCCCACCCCAGCTTGTGTAATGTGCTATAAATTTGCCCAGTGCTTCTTAAAACAAGAACAAGATGATTCACAACCTTCAGAAACATTCTACTATAAAGCAGCAAAACCAATACAAAAGCAAGGGTAGTAGTTCAGGGAAGATGCTGTGGGTGAAAAGGAATTACTAGAGGAAAAAATCCCATAGGGAATGGATTTATGGAATATGTAGATTTTAAGGACAGATTTCATGGCCTGATTCCCCCTCAAATCAGCATTACACAGGTGTGACTTTTGAGATCAATCAAGGTATTGCTGATTTACACTAGGAAAATCAGGCCTTAAGGGCAGGAGTGAAGATGGTGACTCCAGGACATGGAGGATGGACTGTCTAACAGAGCTTCTGATTGTTTGCAACAGGTTAGACTAGATCAGTAGTTCTCAACCTTTTTTGTACCAGGACCCATTTATAAACATCAATGGTCAGTCCTGACCCAGTGCCCCTCACTCCCAGTGAGTGGGGGGTAGGTGTGTGAGGGGTTAAGCAGCCCCAGACAGCCCCTCGCAGGCTGGAACTCTGCCTGCCTGCAAGGGAAAAGCCACAGTTTCCCACATTTTTCTCCTTTAAAGGATAAACCATTTTAACAGTTTGTTGATCTATTTTTAAAGTTTGCTTGCCACCCTTTCATATATTCTTGCAACCCACCAGTTGAGAAATGCTGAACTAGATCACCCTTGAGGTCTGTTTCTCCCTATGATTTAAAGGATGAAAGATGGTGCAAAACTAAGGGTGTACGCAGATGTCCTCTTTGTTTCACCATAAAATCATTTTTTAAATTAAAAAAAAAAAATTGAAGGTGGCAGCAAAACCAAAAAAACACATCCATACCTCTCGTTGCATCACAAAAGCTCAAAATCTGTGACTGTGACAGGTGATACGATTTTGTGCTACTATTTTGTGGCCAGCAGCAGTTTGCTTTAAGGCGGGAGAGCATGGGCATCCTAGAGTTGCCCACAATCTCCAGTCACTTCAGACAGGTGCTCCCAAGGATTCCTGGGCCGTTCAGGATCAAGCCCCTAAAGCCCTGGCAGCACCTGCCCAGGTTCCCTTGTCTGGGATTCCACAGGTGTGCATTGACATTCCAGTGCAGTGGTGGGGCTCAGACCACCAGAGCCAGTTTTCTCTGCCCCAGAGGTTCCCAGAGGCACATGGCTGTGAGCAGGAAACCCAACACCTGTTGTCAAACCAGATCAATGGATAACAGGGGACAGGGACTTATATTTTTCCCAATGAAGCAGATCAGCTGTGCCAGAAACACATCCCAGCACAGCTGATCCACTTCATTTGGCAACATCTGTTGAGTGAGAAGAGCATCTATCAGGCTGCTTAGGAAGGTTTGATGTCTGCACAGAGAGGAGCAGTAGGAGAGGAAAGTGGGAAAGAGCACAAGGAGAGATACATGAGAACGAGTTCAGGTAGCTTTGGAGCTGAGGTTTTTATCTCCCATCTGATTTATCTTTAGAAAAGTGTGGTTAGTGACTTCAGTAATGGACTAGGACCAATACACCACAAACGCACACAAATCAGGACAAAAATATATGTTTTTAATTAAATTAAAATATATTATTATGGGTGTTTGATTTTTAGTATATAATTTTTCCCCCCTAACATGGCAAACCCTCTTCCCCAAAGGAGTACTTCCAGGGGCAAGGGGAGGGACTTCTAGTGGCGAAGGTCAGAGGTTAGGGGCAGGACTTCCAGTCCCAAGATGGTGAGCACGGGGTGGGGCACCTGTCAAGGGACGGGGCTACCCATGTGGCCCTTGACAGCTTACCAAAACTCAGCACGCATCCCTCTGCCCAAAATTATTGCCCGCCCCTGCATTACAGGCTGCCAAATAGCTAAATCTCTTCACCTTTGAATGTTCTAAGCCATGGGGCAGGGAAAAGGTGGAAAGGCCTCTGTCTCCACAAGTGCCTGAAAAAAACCCAGGCCTGGCAGCACACGCAGTAAGTAGATATGTCAAAACACTAGTGCTGTTCTCCTTCAACATGCGACTAGCATGTGGGTGGGGGTGAGCAAAGTGGATTGTGTTACAGTTGTTCTCTGCTTCTCAGTCCCTTTAGTCGCCCATGGGAAACGGGCTGTAAGGCAGAACGGTCCAGAGGTTGCTCTAATTGAAACCAGGGGCTGAGTACGTCCCTGATTTCCCCAGAATCTGAGTGTACAAATGTCTTCAGAGCACTTACCGTTCTCTCTGCTCCCTGCTGCAAATACAGGAACATGAGTAATTCAGGTAACTGAGAATTGGGGTTAATAGGGTCTCCTATAAGATACTAAGGGGTTCAGCTACACACATCTAAAATGAAAGCTCCAGTGGTGTCTGAGACATTATAATCACTGGATAATTGCACAAAATATCAATTAATAAATAAAAGATGAAAAGCCTTTAAATACACCTTTATAAGAATAATCAAATGGGCTGACACTTTGATTATGATCAATATGAAGCTCTTGCTAAGGAGTATGTTTTTAATGGTGCTGGTTACTGAGAGACTACTCACAGTTCCAGGGATGAAGTAGTAATGGGTATTTCTAGCTGTTCTGAGTGGTTATATATGGTCTGCGTAGTAGGAGATCGCTTTTTCTCTGCGGTGTTACAATAGTTTGTCCTTAGCTTCTGTGATCTTGGAATCCCAGCAGACTGATGTTGCCCTTGGTGCTTCCACAGCAGGTGTGCAAAAGCCTTACCTGTGTGCAATGGGGTCATGTCCTAGGTCAGAAAAACATATTCACCCACAAGGTTGTCTCTCTCCAGTGAGGACCTTTCATCTCTCAGGCACTTCTCAAAGGAGGGAGGGTTTATTAGGTTTTTTTGCCTGGGCAATTCCCTCCTCGTGGAGGCCATGCATCAGTTGGGTGAAACTCTACACTTCACAGCACACTGTACTGGTGTTGTTTGTTAGGTGCTTTAGAACTTATTTAAAGAAATGCCATGAATAAGTGAGTTTGAATCCCAAGTATCCAGAGCTTTGGATCCACTGCTCCAGTGAATACACATGCGAGCAATTATTTTGGGCAGAGGGCCACTTGCAGAGTTTTGGCTTTGGCAAGCTGACTTTTCCTTTGTGCCGATCAGCAGTTTCTGGGGAATGAGCTGGTGCTCAGCCTGGGGGGGGGTGCAGTGGCCGCTCCCCCTCCCCACAGCCAGTGCCCCATTCTGCAGCTGCTTGAAGCGCATGCGGGGCTGCCTGTGCCTGCTCTCCGTTGGCACTGCTGCCCCATGGCGCGGCGGTGATGCAGCGGAGAGGCAGGACAG